AAGAATCTCTGTGTGTATATATATTTATAAATGTATAATTTTTAATGGATTTTTGAGTTACCCAGAGCTAAACAGAATCAGAAATCGCTGAGACATAAATATCACTGTAATGTAAATATATTCACCATTTAATCCTGATAAATACTGGATTATAGACTTCAGAACACAGACTGACAATTATTGGAAATCATGTGGTCATCTCAAGTATACAGTATTTCAATTAAATAAAACCATAAAATCCTTTTTCTTCTTTCAAAGTACCATCTAGCATATAATTTATTTGGATGAACTCTACAAATATACGCATTATATCATGCTAGAAGAACTTGAGAACCACTTTTTTCTTGTTCCCAGGGTCTCTTGACTGTTGGTAAGACGTTACAGTCATAATGATAGAATCAGTTTACAGTTGCAAATTCTGCCAAATATCTCACAAATTATATTTGGCAAACAGCACTGCCTCTGTTTCATACAAAGATAATGATCTGATGTTTTGTTTATGTGGCACCAAAGGAAAATATTGTTTTAGAGCATGTGATTTTAAAAAGTTTGTGTGGTATTCTAAACTTCTTAATTGTTACCACTTTATTAAATATAGAGTAACACAGACTTGAAAAGTATCCTTCAAAAAAGAAAAAAACCCACAAACAACAAAACCTGTTCAATTAAATAGGTTGTGTTCATTTTATTTCCTCAGCATTTATCCAGACCTTCATAGCGGCTGGTGTGGATATGCACGCAATACTTTTTACATCTGATGGTGTCAAACATACAGATGAGCTGCCATAAAGGCTGCTCGCCTGTACAGGATTTAGCATTATAGGAGTGCTTTTAGGATGTAGTCTGAAACCCACAGCACACAGAGAGAAATGCACTACATCAGACTTGAGCCACCTAGAAGCCTGCAGCCAGAAGGCAGTTTGGAAAGGAAAACAGCATAACCTTGACAGTGCTATTCTTTGGATGACTCTGAGAAAAAGAAAGAAGAGGGTTTGAACTGAATCTGGGACTCTGCTCTGAGATCCCATTCTGTATCCTGTGGTACAAACCTACCTGGTAAGGACTTAACTTTATTGGGAAACCCACTGGGAATTTCTTTTGGCAACAGCATCAGACCAAGGGTAGAGCATAGCATACCAGTAGTGGGTCCAGGTGCCCTGACACAGTTGGCACCCACAGCCAGACTGTCAGCAGGCTCAGCTGGCATGTCCTAGGTCTCGCTGTCTCCTCCACTGCTGGCACAGCAGTGTCCCGGGCGGGGGAGGCAGTCTGGGAACCAGGTGAGTCTAGGAGATGGTCTCTGCTTTGGTTCTTTGTCTAGCTGGTCAGATAGGGTGGGCAGGATGTGTTGTGGGACTGCTGTACAGATGGCAGAGGAGGCATTGCCCAAAAGGGAAGGGCAAGGTGGTGCAGATCACTGACCTCAGCAAAAAGGTTGTCCTCTCCCTGGGCGAGGGGCCAGGCCCAAGGCCTTAATCTTGGTGATGGCAGCAAACAAAAGCCCTGGGACCACTGGAACCATATCTGGCTTGACACTGACCACCTAGGGTGGTTTGGGGAACCTCCTCTGAAGTTTTCTGAAGATGAGCACCAGTAGCAGCAGTCCTTTTTCTTGTGTGGCCTGCGTCTTTGTGCAGGTTCTTTGGCTGCACTTTTGGGATGGAGGAACAGGGATACAATAGGAAACCTGGCAATAACTATCCCAGGAGAAGCATCTTCTGTGGGAAAGGACTGGGAATGTGAGCCCCTGGAGATGAGAACCAGCAGCTGTTGAGGTTAGGCAGACCTGTGGCAGTGATCTTGGCAGGGGAGGTCGTGTCCACTGGTCTAGAGCTGGCTGGGGAGTGAGTGAGGAGAGAGGGGCTTGCAGGCTTCCAGTGGTGAACAGGCCTCTGCCTGCTCTTCACCCTTTGATGTTTTCCATCAGACTTACAAGAGCTGCTTGTACTGAGGCAGCAAAGCCCCCGAATGTTTATCCAAGGCTGTCATTGGTGATGGAAACTGGAATGGCCAGCAGAGAGAACTGGAAAGAAGGGAGGCAACTGTATGTAGGGCTGTCCTGCCTCTTTTTTCCTCTGTGAGGCCTTGCCTCTTCCCTTTAAAGGCAAAGAAGCTGGAAATGTGGGAAGGACAGGATTCGTGCAATCTTAAGATTGGAAGGGGTTAGTGGGGAAGAACAGAAAGATGGAGAGGGTGCAAACTCCTCTGACTTTACTGAAAGAGTGGAATGAGGTGGTACTCAAACTTGGTTGAGCTTGCACCGGGTTGAGATTAAAAGGGACAGCAAAGTACACAAATGCCATAAGCAAGTTAAAGGGCAGGTAGCTCCTTCAACTGGCTTGTGTGGCTCTTCTGACAGCCTCTATAGCTATCTGTCTTGTTACTACAGACTCGCTAATGCAAACACAATGAGATCTTTCAGGGGTTTATGGAGGTTTGCGAGCAAAATACTCGCTCCAAGGCCAGATCCTGGCTATGTTTGGGCATGAGAGACTGCAACTGCTAATAACTAATGCTGAGCTGACCTTCATGCTGCCATCTAGCGTTTCCTCACAGACAGAAACAACATCCTAAAAAAAAAACAACTTTGAAGGTCTATAATGCCATTTTCAGGGCAAATGTAATTTAGTCCTGCTGGAACACAATGCCAGACAACACACAAGCTAAAGGAGAGGCAATGGGAAAGAAACACGCGGAGAAACCAGCGCTCAGGGTGAATGTTTAGGGAGACATCATTTCTTAAAAAAATTTGTAACTATTTCACCCAGGAACGGAGACATCTCCATGGCAAGATAATTATTCAAAACCAGAATTTGTCCTCATTTGTTTTTCGCTCTGTGAAATTAATATGGCCATTTGCAAGCTGCAACAGTACACAACATAGCAAGAATCCAAGCAGAAGCTTGTCTTAACCGAGAGAGACGGGCATAAGAAGCTCGGCAGGCTTTTCTTGTCTGTCCTTGCTAGTCATAAAAAACGCACGGCATGTTTACTTCACAGCCATCAGATGCTGATTTTTCTTTCAAGTATACAACAAGAGGTAACAAGTTATTGCTGGGGCCACATGCAAAACATTTGACTCTTGGCGCTTCAAAGCATGATCCCTGGCTTTGAGGAGCTGTAACAGGATGCTTTTCCAACTGTTGCACATCCTGCAGTCATGCTGGAACTGTAGAACTCTAACCATAACAATAACAACTCAAGAGTTCATGGGTTGGATGATGCAATTACAACAAAGAGAGCATTCTTTTTGCCCAGGCTTCTTTAAGGTGTTTTGAGTCAAAGTCCAAAACAAACATGAAGCATCTAAAATCATTGTTCTCTTTTGGAGAGAGACCCTGACTTCTGAGCTTCGCTTCCTGACAACCTGGAAAGCAGGAAAGCTGCCAGGAAGGACTGCACAAATGAAAAACAGCAAAAGTCAGACAATTTAAGAAAATACACTGCCCAGAGGGAAAGCCATAATAAGCAGCCTTTAAAGGTCTCCTGCTGGCATTGTATGAAACCAGGTATGAATTTAGCCATTTGCAGGAAAGTTTTCCTGTTTATAGTAAAATTTTGGTAGCAATAGAACACACTTGTGTTTGAACATTATGTATACAAACTGACTGCATGTTCTCAGTGCAGTCATAACACAGCTTGTTTAGGAGAAGAGGAATATCATCAGCACAGCAGAGAACAGAACCAAACTTTTCAGCAGAAAGGACCGTGTACTACTCTGCTTACAAATCACCTCTCAAGTCAAAATATGAAATTTGTCTCAGGTCTTTGAAAGACCTAGTCTGAGAACAGAAAGACCTCAGGTGCATAATGGTAGAGTCCATGTGTCTCATTCATACTATTCCTGTTTTTTCACTGAGAAACATCGCAACCCCATCAAACAGAGCCTACTGCTGGCTTAAGGCATCATTATTCTTCCTCTCCAGCTGCTAGTGCCAGTCTGTAACATCCATGTAGGTACCAAAAGCCTTCTCCTAAACACACTGAACAAAAAAGTAGCCTTTCTTTATGCTTAGTGGGCTTTGAATTCAGACCCAATAGAGTTGTATGCTCTGAATATAGGGCTTTTATTTTCCAAAGCTCATTGCTGTGGAGGTAAGTCACATTTTCTTTCAGTTCCTTGTTCTCCCCCCTTTCATCGAGTCATGACACTCAGCAAGGATAAGTGAATGAAAAAAAGATATGCCTCAGCTCTTTTCCAAAACGTTCAGGATTTCTGTGGATTAAGAAAGAGCAAGAGACTCCTGTTTTACAGCTTCATCTGCAAAGAGCCCGTGTGAGAATACCATGGGGCAAAACCTTGAAAACCAAGAGCACATGTCTGCAAGCAGCCTCTTGGGGATCTGCATCATTTGCTTGCTTACAAAGTGGCCACATGCTTGCTGGTGTGGGACACGGGGCACACAAAGCAATGGCTGTAGAGCTCCTAAAACAACCTCTTCCCCGTCCAGCAGGGAGAGACTGCTGTTGGGGCTCTGGCATCAGGGTTCACCAAAACCTGATGTGAACTGGAGTACTCCTTTCTGAGTGACTACTGCATTTACTCCATGGGGAAGTGGGTGAGGGATTTGTGGACAAGACATGGGCCAAAGCCACAGGGATCAGCAGAAAGCTTGTGGGGGCATGCCATGGTCTCTGCTCTCCAGTCCTCTGCCAATCAGTTTAAGTGGACCAGTATTTTTTTTTTAACTCTTTTTCTGTAATTTTTTTAAAGTTTTTGTGCAAATGTTGCAAAATAAAATTTATCATTTCTTATGGAACAAATTTCCCTCCACACAACTTCATTTCTTTCCCTCCTCTTCCAATGATAGATTTAACACGCCAATGGGAAGCTCGCACAGCTCCAGCATCGGGTGGATTTTTATTTTATTTTTTAATCAAAAGGTACAAGCTCAGTTGTTCTTTTCTTCTCAGTTTTGGGGACAAAGATTTTGCCCTTCAGGCAAGCTAAATAAATAGGAAGGACATCAACTTCAATGTGCTGTTTGTCTCATGATTCCCTATAACATTTCCCTAGTACCAGGCATGGCCGCCTCCCGAATAAGCAGAGTTAAAACTTTCCTGTAGGTGTCCAAGACCTCTTGGGCAGAAGGCCTTTCAGCCGGGTCCTTCTTCTTACATGCTGCATGGATGTCAAACAAGTGCAGTCGCACAATGTCACTTCCTTCAACATGGCCCAAGAAAAAATTGGAGACATCCGGGATTTTCCAGATGTCTGTTTTCTCATCATAGGGGGGCATGAGGTCGTCCTCAAATGGCACCTCTTCTCCATAGGGCCAACGCTGCTCAGGAGCTACAAACTCCCCCTGGAGCTCCCGATGACCGCACTTCACCAGCCTGCCGGCACTCCTGTTCACAAGAGGCAAAGCGTCCAAATCATTCACCAGGACATGAAAGTCACTTGTTAGGAGATACTGAGAGAGGACCTTGTCCAGGTCATTCGAGTCGCACATGACTAAGGTGCCCAGAGGGCTGCTGTGTAGGTACCGAATGATGCTGACATAGTCTATAGCAAGCATCAACCTGCGATGCCAGGTGTTCATGCCTTTGTACTTGGGGATATGGAGAGTCTCATTCAGGCCCCTCAGGGAGCCCAGAGGATGGTACTCGGTGAGGATTGTGAACTGCTGTTCACAGTAGCCAAGCAGGCGGACGACATGCTTGCTTTGAAGTGCTTTCAGCATCTTCAGACCATGGAGAAAGTCCTCCTTCATCTCTGAGTTGGTGAGCTGTGAAAGGACCACTTTGTTTTCCTTCCACTCGGAAAGGAAGGCCTGAGAACACACAAGAGACACATAAGACACGTGGAGAGCCTTCTTCCCCTGACTGCTACCAGCTGCTGCTGACGTCCACGTGACTGCTTAGTCACAACTGCAAATTACGGTCACCCAGCAGAGTCAAGCCTTTAGGTATGGCTATGTACCTGTCACAGCACGCCTCTACCAACATCATAATTACATCACGATTTCCTAAGTTTTCTTTGGAATGGGCAATGCAGATGAATTAAATTACTTCATACCACCCACCCAGCCAGTCTTACTCTGCCACAACTGTACCATGCTCCACAAGTGCTCCACTATCTCTGTGATTTTGCTTGTGTAGCTGAATGTCATTCAGTGTCAGGGGGGTGGCCCAGGGCTGTGGTCACGCTCTCCTACCTGTTCACCTTATCAGCAGCCATATTATTGTTCCACCTTATCAGCAGCCGCATGCCCCTGGATGTCTACAGTAATTAGCTGCTGTGAGGATAATTATATGGTGTGGGTATTAATTAGCCAGCAAACAGTGAAAGGTCTTTATCCACAGGACAGAAGAAAGGAAAACCAAACTCACCTTTTTCACAGCGCCTTCACCAACACACTTGAGTTTCCTGACTTCCCTATTTATGGCTTCGCAGGAGAGCCATGGGGAACAATTCTTCACAGCTCCTAATTTGAAGTACCCGAAAGAGCAGAGACTGGAGTCCATTTCAGCACGTCCCGAAGAGACGTAAAACTTGTTGAGGTACAGGTAGAGAAGGGTATTAAGGAGCAGGACAGCAGCAAGCAGTAATGCCAACGAGATGGAGGACACCTCCCTGGGAGGGAATTCCCTCCTCACAAAGTGTGGTTTCTTTTCCATGGCCGTGCCTTCTGCATTCTCCATGAAAGCAGAGGCTAAACGCAACCCTCTTCCCAGCCGAGGGACGAACGTCGGTGGGGCTTTTTCATCTGCCTTACAGACACCGCAGCCTACGAGAAAGGCCACGCGTGGCAGCGGTATATGCTAAAAGCGGTTTCAAGCTCGACGCTCACCTCCCTGTTCATCCTCCTGCTTTTCTGAACAGGAGGGCCCGGGCTGCCGGCCGCCCCGGCCAGGGACGCTTGACGCCGGAAAACACTG